AACATCAGAATAAAAGTGTAGGTTTTGCTTGTTTTGTTTTCTTTTTAACTCAGCCCCTAAGATTTGGGCCTCGTGTTTTCAGCAGCTGGCACTATTTACAGAATCAGTACAATGACTGCCTTCCCCACTAAACTGTCTGAGCTCTTTCAGAAAAGGAATCTTGTTTTCATGGTTTTGAACCCGGCAACACAGAAGGCACTCAAATGTGTGCTGAATGAATAACTGAATCCACAGAGGGGTCCAATCTGCACCCTTCTGCTCTCAAGTAGAAATGGACTTTGAGGGCTGAGAAAGACCTGAGAAAAGTGGTTCCCAAACCTTACTTAGGATCTGAATCACACAGGAAGCATGTTTAAAAATTAACATGTCAGGATGTCGCCTCCTCTCCCTGACCTGAACCCCCAAGAGATGATGATCCTATGGGTAAGGAATGAGACTCAAATTTACACTTGTAACCTATCTGGGAAATAAACCATGGCAATTTACAAATGAAAATGTTAGCTTACAACTGCTAGGTAACAAGAGGAAGGTGGCAGGGCTCTCTTTTAACATTTATTTACTGCTTACTATCTGCCAGACACTATCCTAAATGTTTTATCGCTGTTTGGTTCGTGTAAAGCTCTTAACAGCCCTATGAGGTGGGTACGACGATTAGTCCCATTTTACAGATGAGGAAACTTGCCCGTGGTCAGGTAGGCAGCAGAGCTCAGATATACACCCAGGCAATCTAGCTTCAGATGGGGCGCTGCTCCCCTGTACCAGACCTGGATTAGGGCTCAGTGTTGTAGAAACGTGCCTGTGGCCACGGTGCTGGGAAAGCGACGTGGGCATCGGCCTGCTTTCTCGCATTTACTCCCAGGACCCTGGTAACCCAGCAGCGGTAACCAATCCTGGTTGGCTCTGATGGCCCAGCAAAGGCAGAAAACTCACAAGATCTGCCTCACTTCATCAGGAAAGTCTAGCTGTGTGAGAAATGATGGAAGATGAGACTCAGAACACAGATTCTGAAGGATCCAGAATGCCACACTAAAGAATTGCTCTTGAGGAGCCAGTGGTGGCGGAGGGTTTAAGCTTGTGCACTCTGCTTTGGTGCCCCGGGGTTCGCCAGTTCGGATCCCAGGCAGGGACCTATAGACCGCTTGTCAAGCCATGCTGTGGCAGGCGTCCCACATATAAAGCAGAGGAAAATGGGCACGGATGTTAGCTCAGGGCCAGGCTTCCTCAGCAAAAAGAGGAGGGTTGGCAGTGGATGTTAGCTCAGGGCTAATCTTCCTCAAAAAAAAAAAAAAAAAAACTGGATGGGTAAGGATGCCAACAATCCACACAGCAATTTGGGAGGTAGCATAATGAAGAAAAGGTAGGAAAACATGCTTTGGATGCACACATATGTAAAGAGCATATTCATTCACTAACATGACTTTTAGATGTCTGCTGGATAGTCAGCTTATTCATTTACTTATTCAGTCAACCAACATTTACCTCTCAGAGCTGGAACCAGGCAGACAGAAGCCTGAGCACTGCAGGACTCAGTATGTGCTCAGGGTGTGGATGAAACCCCAAGTGGGGCACTTCGACCTAGCTATGAGGCTCCTGACAGGCTGCCCAACCTCTCTGATCTGGATTTCCTCATTTGTAAAATAAGTATTCTCAGGATGCCTGCCTCAGAGGATTGTTTGAGGATTAAATGAGACAAAGGTAAAACAGTGAGAGAATTCTGAGCTCATAGGACGCATTCAATAAGGGTTAGTGATTATCAGCATTGTTACCTAAATGGATCTCCGAGGACTAACTGCCTGCATCCAGCCCTGAAGTAACTTAAACTGCAGATCCCAGGTCCCACCTAGACCTACCAGAACCAGAACACCTGGGGGGAGGGGCTCTGCAACTGCTTTTTAACAACAGATCAGAAAACACTGCTGAACTAGGTAAACATGAGTTTTAACATCTACAGAAAACATTAAGCCTACCCTCTGCGTACTCCCACTGTCAGTTACTGTATGTCTATGTGCGTACAAAATACAAAGAGATCTTAAAAGGATCAGTCTTTAAATGGATCTAAAATTTATCTTCCTGTCTTCTGGCACCCTGCAGCCACAAGGACCTGAGGCCTTAACTCTTGACTGGGTGAGCTGCGTCTCCAGTCTCCCGATTTTAAGGCTCAGATTCACTTGCATGGAGGCACACAGAACTTGCAGGACAGAAGAGAAAACCTGAGTCCACCCAATTGCAAAGCCCAGCCCTTCCCACAGGTGCTCCCGGCATCCACCCTGATGCTATTCGTCCACACAGAAAATACCTGCAGGGGTTTGGAGCTCACACAAAGAGGAAAACCCGGAGGTATCCTCATAGTAAGAGGGACAGGGTTCCCTGGCCCCATGGAAAAGTCACAGATGAGGATAAGGATGAAGGCTCACCTGGTACCCCTGCGCCCCACACCCCACAGAGCCTGAGAGATACACAAGGAGGGAGGGGAGCCCTCTGGAAGACTCAGAAAGACAAACTATCCACTGGACACATCTGAATGGATACCAGTGAACACCTCTGAGGCTGATAAGATGCAGCATTATAAGGATAAAGATCAAAACAAAAAGAATCAAGAACAAACTATAGGAGATAAACTTACAAAATTTGTTCTGCTGTTTAGTCGCTGCAGAGACTCAGTAGTAAGTTTTCATACATCTTTGGGGCGCTCTACATCTTGCTTGGGGCTGTAGTTATTGTAAAAATTGCCAAAACTCATCAAACTAAACGCTTAAGAAAGGGGAACAGACGGAGGCCACAGGAAGAGCCCTGGAGAGCTAACCCAGCCTCCACCTGCAACCTCTGAGTTTCTGAATGTGAATGAAGAACAACCAAGAGATTAATATAAGAGGTATCCTGAAAATGCTGCCAAAATCCTAGTTTAAAATAAAACATTTCTACACATTCACAAGCAATATTTACCGCGGGCCTAATGCAACCAACCCCTCTGAACCATCTCAGCACTCAGCCACTTGCATTTCCCCCTCCGTCAGCAGCTTTCTCTGAGAAGTCTCCAGAGAGTCTGTCTTGACACCAGTGGCCGTCTCCACAACAGCATTCGCTTGGCAAGGTGACACTCACCGACTGAGCCGGCATCAGGGGAGTGAGGATTTAACCACTCTCTGGTGAGCCAACTGCATCGGACCCAAACCCTCCTCCACCCCCGTCTCTGGGGACACGTCCTGCGCTGCTAACCCCCAACCTGCTGACCTCCGGGGGGAGAGTGGGCAGAGGAACTCAGAGCACACCCCTGGCAAGAGGCGCAGCAGGGGAGCGGGTACATCACAGGGACAGCCTCAGGGAACGGGACAATCTGGAGCCCAGCTAGACAAGATTCACAAGCTGTGCCACTTATTTCCAATAATGTGGAAGAGGAGGAATTATTTCATAAACCATGATGGGAAAACGGGCTGTTGTGGAAAAATGAGGCCGATCTTACATCAAACACTAGATGAAATTCTAGCTGCCTTTATTGATGGAAACGAAACCAGAAGAGAGCTAAAGAAAATGCTTATGGAGATTTAGATGATGCCAGAATTTTAAAAAAAAGATATACTACAAATGCAACAGGCGAAACTAAAAAGAAAAGCTCAATGTAATTAATGATACATAAATTTAAAACCTCTGAACTAAATTGAGACAAGTGAAAATCTGGAAAATATTATAAGCACTACAGTCATGCGCCACTTAATCACAGGATATGTTTGACCAATGTGGTGTTAAGTGATTTCACCATTGCGTGAACATCGTAGAGTGGACTTAGACAAACCTAGATGGTATAGCCTACTACACACCTGGACTAACCTTATGGGACCACTGTCGTATATGCGGTCCATTGTTGATGGAAACCCTTTATGCTGCCATGACTGTATTACAAGTTATTTCAAAACTATAAATGCCTCATAGGAAAAAATCTATTAACAGACAATTCAAAGAAATACAAATAAATGATCGATAGATACAAAAAAGTTCCATCTATAAATCAAATAAAATTGTTTGATAATTCTTTTAACCTTTTGACTCAGAAAAAATTTTTTTTGAATTCAACTCAAAGTTGACGGTGAAATAAGCACACGAACCACTACGAAGAGGGCAAATTGGTCCAATCCTATTGGTAAGCAATTTGACCTTTCACCAGTTATCTTACTTCTGGGAACACAGAAAAACTATGCACCCAAATATATGCGTATGGATATGCATTACATCACAATTAGAAATAAACTCTGTTCAACAAAAGTGACAGACTGTATAAGTCGTAATCATTAAATATCATGTTTTGAAGATTATTTAATGCCATTAATAAATGTTAACCATAGAAAATTAGGAAGGAATCAGGACCCAAATCTATTTAATTTTATAGAAAAGATGTGTGCGCACAGGTATATAAAAAGTTTTAGAGGAAGACTAAGAAACAACCAAAATATCAGCAGGTGTACTTGGCTAACAGAAATAAATCATCCGGGGCCGGCCTGGGGGTGCAACGGTTAACGCACAGTCCACTTCGGCGGCCCGGGGTTCACCCGTTTGGATCCCAGGTGGGGACACGGTACCACTTGGCAAGTCATGCTGTGGGAGGCGTCCCAAAAATAAAGTAGAGGAAGATGGGCATGGATGTTAGCTCAGGGCCAGTCTTCCTCAGCAAAAAGAGGAGGATTGGCAACAGTTAGTTCAGGGCTGATCTTCCACAAAAAAAAGAAAAAAAAAGCAAGAAATCATCCTATTCCTTTCTTTTCTAAAGTTTTAAATTTCTTACAGAAATAGAAAAAAAAATTCTTTTCAAAAATCCACAACAATTACCAATAGCCATAATGTACGACTCCTCTTAGACGCCAAGTCTAAACAGAGACATGAAAACACCAAAAACTCAGTAGAGTCATTTGTATAAACGTCAGTAAGCTAGTTATCGGCATCATTTGGGTAGGTAGCTACCAGTTCACAAGTCTGGAAAGCAGATGAAATTTGAGAAGAAAGGCAAATACCAATGAGTAGATGAAAACTTCGTTTTTCTCAACAAAGTGGGCCTTGTCTCAGGGTGGCACGTCCTGGCTGGGCTGATTTCAGCTTGCCCACCTGCAGCCAGGGGGGTACACAAGGAAATCAATAAGGTCCCTCAGACTTTAAATTTTATCAAACTGAAGAAGGTAAATAAATATTGGATGGTCATCATGGTCAACAACTGACTTCACAAAGTCTCACCCCTTACTCAAAAATCTAATACTGGAATAACAACGCCAATGGGAGGAGTAACTCAGAGCAGTGAGCGAGCCTCAATCTTCCATCAGAGTCACCTGAAATTCTCGTTGACCCCGCCCAGTTTCTGGTTTTACAGAACTGGTCTGAAAAGGGTGCCAGGGGATTTGCATGTCTAACAGGCTCCCCGGATCCTCGGATGCTGCAGGTGTGAGCACCACATTCTGAGAATTGCTGCCCTAAAGCGTGGTAATAGATGCTTCCCGTGCACTATCTCCAACAGCAGGAGCTTTAAGGAACTCCAGCCTACAAGAACAAAGCTGTGCTTGGAATGAACAGCTGTCTCCATGCATTTAAGGAGAACCCCAACAGGAGCAGCTCAGGACAGGGGATGCTAACACATGAACTCAGGCTCTGCAGCCAGACTGCCTCATTTAGGATCCTGCTCTACCCCTTACTAGCTCTGTGATCCCAGGCAAGTTGCTCAACCTTCAAGTGCCTTGAAGTGTGAAACCGAGATAAGAGCCCCTTTCTCTCAGGCAGGGAAACCAGAAATGAGTGCCTACCAAAGTGAGCAACGAGAAGTTCTCACCTCCCCATTTCCATGCACAGATTTTGAAAATCCACAAACAGAAAGTGCTTCCAGAGTCCCATGCCCTGCCTAAAGTTAAGGAGACTTTTGTCTACTTCATTATTTACAGTAGCCACATCCATATTCCTTCTTCTACGCCTTCTTTCCCTAAGGGCCACCATACGGCCAAGAGATGTCCCTACACATACTGAGTACACCACAATCAAGCGTGGACCCACTCATCCCCTCGGGATCCCCTAGGCTCTCCCACAAAAAAAGAGGAATGATCAGAACACCTGGCGGCATAGTGGTTAAGTTCCATTGCCCCACTTCAGCAGCTCAGGGTACGTGGGTTAGGATCCAGGTGTGCACCTACATACTGCTCATCAAGCCATGCTGTGGCAGTGTCCCACATACAAAATAGAGTTAGATTTCCACAGATGTTGGCTGGCCACAGATGTTAGCTCAGGGACAATCTTCCTCACCAAAAAAAAGGAATGGTCCCCTGAAATGTACACAGCATTATAAGACAATATGACCTCAATTTTTTTAAAAAAAGGTAATGATCAGAACACATGGGAAACAAGAAAAGGTTAGGGTTAGGGTTGAGAAAGACAGATCTAATAATCAACCAAGTGTGATTAAAGGCCAAAGGTTCAGGCCCACCTAATTAGTGAACTAGACGGAAAACTAAGAGCCTCACATCTCTGGACCGTTTTCACCTGTGTGTTTCCTCCCAGCTCAGGGACCGACCCCTCAGTAGTTTTAGAACCACCTGCGGTCAAGATCATGGATCGCTTCTAAAGGCCAGAGATCCCGATAAGACCCCACAGGTTTCAGGGATGCCATCCCGAGAGTGACCCTCCAAGTTGGTAGTGGCAATATTAACAGGGGAAAGGGGCTGGTCAAAGATATCCTGCAGTCGTGGCTGCGTGCGTCCCAGGCAGAAGGAAAAGTGGTTCAAGAACAGTGTCCTCATTCATTGAATAAAAAATAAACTGTTTTTTTACCCACATGAAATTTGCCGCAACTAGCAACCAGGACACACAGTGAGAGGCGTACACGGGAGGGAGAGAGAAAGAGAAAAAGAGAGGTAGGCGGGCAGACAGACATGGTCAGAGACACAGAGAAAGGCCAGTGGAGTTGAAACCCAGCTGTCACGTAAGGAATATCGGAAGAGGTGGGGACACTATTGGGAGATGGCAATGGTCCAGGGTACGAAGTATGCTTTGATTGAGATTAGATAAAGCAAGCTGTTCAGAAACTGCTTGCTTCGGAGAAAAAAGGGTGCAGCTTTAGTTCAGGAGCCCCGCGAATCCCCGCGCGGTACCGGCGAGCCGGCCAGGACAGAGAGTGGGAGGGCCAGTCTGTCTCCCACTGGGCAGTGATTTCCCCGAGGCAGCCTCGGTTCTCTGTCTCCCCACCTCGTGCTCCTGCTGCTCCTCCTCCTCCTGGGCACTGGAGGTGGACCGAGCCGCGAGCGGCAAGGCAGGGAGACGCCGCGCCCCCGCCACCAGGTCCCCCGGCCCCGCTTCCCGGCCCTACTCCCGCGCGCGGGGGCGCAGGCGGGGACCACGCAGCCGGCTGGCGGGGGTGCGCCAGTGGCAACAAGAAGCCCGGCGGTGCGGGCGCCGGCAGAAAGCGCTCCCTGGCCCAGACCCTCGGCCCTCCACCCCCAAAAGGCGCGGGCAGCGTCAGGCACGGGCCCGGCGGCGGCGGGGTGTCGCAGCTCGGGCCGGGGGGCTCACCAGAAGAACACGCGCGAGCAGAGGTTCGCGTCCTGCAGCGGGTTGGGCTTCCCCTCTGAGTACACATGCAGCATCTTGCCGGCCGGGCTGGGCGCGAGCCGGGGTCGCGCTCTGAGGGCGGCGGTGCGGCTCTCGCTGCTCCTGGAGGCGCGGGCAGGGATGCTGGAGCTCGGTCCGCTCGGCGGGAGCCTGACAACCACCCGCTTCCGGGAGCGAAGCGCCGGCAGCCCGCCCCGTTCCCGCCTCCCGGTCCGCCTGCCGACAGCCGGGAGCCGGGAGCTGGGCCGCCGCTGCCCAGAGCCCCGCGCAGATGCGAGGGAGGCGGCTGGCGCCGGTGGATGGAGGTGGGTGGGCTGAGCACGCTCGGTGCGGCGCGGAGGCGTCCACGTGCTGGCACCTGACTGCAAACTTGCCGAAATTGGTGCTCGGAGCCAAGACACCCACCCAGAAGGTGGAGCGGGGAGGCGCCGGCGCCGCCCGCCCCTGCTGCTCAGAAACGCCCCCTTGGCTGCGGCTCTCAGAAGACCAGGAGGAAGCTGTCTGACAGCTTCAGCAGCCCGCCTTCTGGGCTCGCTGCCCTCATCAGGACCAAAAAGGGTGTGCTGTGGGAGATTGTCCAACCTACGGGCTGTTCTCCAACCTGCGGGCCAAACATTTGACCTCAGACAACAGCAGGATTTAGCAGATTATCTTTGTAGAGCTGCAAGACCTAAAGAAAGGTAACAGAAGATTAGAACAACTCAAATGATTTTGAAGGATGAATACACGTCATTGGGGGCAGAGTTTTGGTATCTCACATGTTGCATTGTACAGGGGAACCTCTGAGAGCTTTTTTGCTACCCTCTTAGACTGGGAAAGGGGGATATGAGCAGAGAGATTCCGCCTTGTGATTTCTTTCATCATTCCCTCAAAGCCTAGCAGAATAACAGTAACAAACAGAACATACATTACAGAACACGGGTTATGCGCATTTCTGGGGACCTTACCTTACTTTGATCTCTAACAATGCCCCAGTCAAAAAGGTATTGTTGTCCCTATTTTACAGATGAGAAAGATGAGGCTCAAGGACAGAACCTGATGAAACCCAATTTGGACTCAAGTCCAAGTCCTGCATGGTCTGTCTCACTGGTGGATGGTCAGTGTGCCTAAAAGCTGCCTAGAATACGCTGGTTGAATGAAGGCATGATTGTAGGACTGAGGGAACAAAATCTTGGACTCCCACTAAGTTTTCACCTATTGGCGAGGCCATCTTACCAGGTCAACAGCTTCTCTTCCCTTCAACTCTAAATGAAGAAAGATCAAAGGTTACGAGTTTGTGGTGCTTGTTACAAGATTATTATTCTCTGACAATTTCCATGCACATTAGCTGAAATGATGTCATTAATAATGGCTTTTATTTTCAGGTATGCGAGATGAATAAGTTCTGGGGAACTGGTGTACAGCAATGTGACTATAATTGACAATATTGTATGTGTTCTTCAAATTTGCTAAGAGAGTAGATCTTAGAAGTTATCAACATAAAAAAGAAGAAATAAGAAAATGGTTAAGGTGTGAAGTGAGGGATGTGTTGGTTGGCTCGGTTGTGGTGAATATTTCACAATGTGTACATATTTCGAGTCATCAGGTTGTACGCCTTAAATATATACAATTTTTAATTGTCAATTATACCTCAATAAAACTGGGGAAAAAATGGCTTTTAAAGAAAGCCTTACTATATTCAAACACTTTTTAAAAGTCAAGCATACAAGAATGGCAAAATATTGAGAATACTTTTCAACTGATGGGTGTTGGAGGTTTATTAAAGCTCTTTTCTTGCTATTTCATGATGTTTGAGAATTTCCCCCACAAAAAGGAAAGACAGTTAGAGCTGAACACTGTAAGAAAACTACGATTATTCAATTACCTTTCTGTATTAGCTCTTTCTCAGATAATGCAATCTATACTCTAAATCATCAGCCCATACCTGATTTACAGTACTCTCTGAAACTCCCTAAATTTTCCAGCCCTGTAAATGCTCAGCTACCAATTCTACTTCAAAGATGAAGAAAGTGAGAAGTCTGGTGCCTCCCCTTGTGAGTCTGTCCCAGCCTGCTCTTTCTAGTCCCCACAGATCTCAGAACCATAAGTAGCAGTCCCCAAACTGCCAGAAACACTCAGTCCCTTCAGCTTCCGCTGAGTTTTTTTTAACTAAGATCTTTTGAAACTTCTTAACATTCTTTTCTGACGTTAACTAATACGGTGTTTAGAAGAGATACTGAGAACTAGTGTTGAATTGTAGAGAGAAGACTGGATATGGAGCCAGGGGACCAGAGAGCTAGACTTTTCACTTATTACCTAATCTGTCTGAACTTTACTATCCTTGGGTCTAAAATGGGGATCAGAATCCCCACTCTTCCCACTTCCTACAGGGTTAGTGTGAGTCTCACAACTTGGGGAAGCACTTTGTAAAACCTAAGGCAATGTACAAAGAAAAGGGTGGCTTTTTCATTCATTCAACAAACGTTTAGTGAATGCCTTCTAGGTACTTGACCACTAGGCCAGGCATGGAGCTGGTAAAGATGGGGAAGATGTCATAAGACCTCTGTCTGCACTTGTTTACTGATCTTTTCTTTTTTTTTTTTTTTTTAACAATTTGGCTGGTCTTTTTTTGAAAATTCTTTTATTGAGATCATATTGGTTTATAACATTGTGTAATTTTCAGTGTACATTATTATATATCAGTTTCTGTATAGACTGCATTGTTCTTACCATCAATAATCTAGTTTTTAATCCGTAACCATACATATGTACCCCTTTACCCTTTTGGCCCATCCCTGCACCTCCTTCCCCTCTGGTAACCACTAATCTGTTTTCGTTATCCATGTGTTAGTTTATCTTCCACATATGAGTGAAATCATATGGTATTTGTTTTTCTCTGTCTGGCTTAAGATAAAATAATACCCTTAAGTTACATCCATGTTGTCATGAATGGGATGATTTTGTCTTTTTTATGGCTAAGTAGTACTCCATTATATATAAACAGCACATCTTCTTAATCTAATCATCAGTTGACGGGCACTTGAGTTGCTTCCACATCTTGGCTATTGTGAATATGTCTGCAGTGAACATAGGGGTGCATAGATCTCTTTGTGCTGTTGATTTCTTGTTCTTCAGATAAATACCCAATAGTGGGATAGCTGGATAGTATGATATTTCTATTTTTAATTTTTTTGAGACATCTCCATACTATTTTCCATAGTGGCTGCACCAGTTTGCGTTCCCACCAGCAACGTATGAGGGTTCCCTTTTCTCCACATCCTCTCCAACATTTATTTCCTTTTTTTTTTTAAAGTATGCATTGTTATTTTTTTATGCAGGTTGTTGTTTTGGGTTTTTTTGGTGAGGAAGATTGGCCCTGAGCTAACATATGTTGCCAATCTTCCCCTTTTTTTTTGTCTCCCCAAAGCCCCAGTACATAGATGCATATCCTGGTTGTAAGTCCTTCTAGTTCTTCTTTGTGGGATGCTGCCACAGCATGGCTTGATGAGCAGTGTGTTGGTCTACACCCAGGATCCAAATCAGCTAACCCTGGGCAGCTGAAGTGGAGCACACAAATTTAGTCACTACACCTCCAGGCTGGCCCCCAAAGTTTGTTTTTTTTTTTTGTCTTGTTAATTACAGCCGGTCTGACAGATGTAAGGTGATACCTCATTGTAGTTTTGATTTGCATTTCCCTAATTATTAGACATTGAACATCTAATTAAAGATGTTGAACATCTTTTCATGTGCCTGCTGGCCATCTGTATATCTTCTTTGGAAAAATGTCTGTTCATATCTTCTGCCCATTTTTTAATCGAGTTTTTTGTTTTTCTGTTGTTGAGTTGTGTCAGTTCTTTACATATTTTGGAGATTAACCCCTTGTTGGATATATGATTTGCAAATATTTTCTCCCAGTTGTTGGGTTGTCTTTTCATTTTGTTCATAGTTTCCTTTGCCTTGCAGAAGTTTTTTAGTCTGATGTAGTCCCATTTGTTTATTTTTTCTTTTGTTTCCCTTACCTGAGTAGACATGGTATTCAAAAAGATGCTGCTAAGACCAATGTCAGAGAGTGTACTGCCTATATTTTCGTCTGGGAGTTTTATGGTTTCACGTGTTACATTAAAGTCTGTAATCCATTTTGAGTTAATTTTTGTGTATGGTGCAAGATAATGGTCTATTTTCATTCTTTTGTATGTGGCTGTCCAGTTTTCCCAGCACCATTTATTGAAGAGACTTTTCTTTCTCTGTTGTATGTTCTTGGCTCCTTTGTCAAAGATTAGCTATCCACAGATGTATGGTTTTATTTCTGGGCTTTCAGTTCTATTCCATCGATCTGTGTATCTGTTTTTGTGCCAGTGCCATGCTGTTTTGATTAGTATAGCTTTGCAGTGTATTTTGAAGTCAGGGATTGTGATGCCTCCAGCTTTGTTCTTTTTTCTCAGGATTGCTTTGGCTGTTTACTGATCTTAAATTGTTCTATTACTATAACTAAAAGACAGTAACAAGTATTGGAGAGGACGGGGAGAAATTGGAACCCTCATACATTGCTGGAAGGAATGTAAAA